TAAACTCACTGCTCTTGTTGGGCCAATGCCATGACCAGCCACAGAGTGAATAGTATTGAGTTGTCGATACATACAAGACTGTAAACTACCAGACCCTATGCACTGGAATTGGGTCTGCATTATAAGTCTGCATGTGTATTCTCACCGGAGGCTGTAAAATGTGGGCACGCTTTCAATCCGTGCAGTCTGTGATTTATGGAGGCACATAGGTCAGGAGTTTATTATGCTGAAAATCATAATAACTGTTTTGTTTGCTCTCGAAAATGAAGTGATTGAAGCATGTTGAAAGATAAATGGGTGAAACATTTTGATTATGCTTTTATTTCTATTAAAGATTAAATATTATTGCTGAGTAACCAGCCCTGCTAAGTATTATGATATTAAAGCTGAAGTAGTGTGTAAGCCGATAGCCCCTTCTTTCCTCTGGGTTTAGGTTTGTTATTAATCAAAACGTTGGACCTGTTTAGTGCAGTGGTGTCTGAAACAAACAGTCGAAAAAGACAGCTACTTTAATTTACGGCTTTCTGTTTTTCCAGGTTTATAGGCAAATCTGTTTCTCTGTCTGGGCTTTGTGTTGTGTTCTCATGTCTAGAGGTCATTTCTTAGACCAGGGCCAACGCAGTCCAATAGTTGCATGATTCTCTCATGGCATAGAAAGGAGGAAGGTGCCTTATTATGGTTTTAGTTGACAAATTCTGGCAAAGTCATATTTGAAAGAAGGACAGTCCCTACTAGAAGTGGATATTACACAAAACCCATATGTATTGGGGAGCAGAAAAAGCAATAATTTTTTTAAATAGAAGAATGCATATATGGAGAGGTATTAATAAGTTAACTAAGACGGTGGCTTTTAGTGTTTTATATCAATATAGGAGTATTGAATAAAATATTTTAAAGGGCCTATGATTCCAGCTACTTCCTGGTGTTGGCTTAGGCGTCTGCACAAGAGTAACTTGGAAAGTGCTCACCACTTCCAGAATTGCAGTGTGGGGTGGGCTCCCTAGACGCGTGGTCAGGGACTTTTAATAGGACCGTCTGGCCACTCTCCTAAACCTGGTCCTCAACAGTGGTAACACACTCACAATTTCTAGACAGTGCGCTTTGTGGGGAGTGCAGCACAGATTGTAAGAAGTATCAGAGGAAAAGACCACCTCTTAATATGTGAAACAAAAGGCTGAGTTTACTACTTCCTGAAGTAAGAAAGGGCTGTGCTTTGAGGCACAGTCTCTGAGCAAAGCTGGTTGCAAATCCTTATATAGATTTTTGGGCTGGGGATTGTTAGGAGTGGACATCAGCCTCAGAAGCTCTTCATTCAGGAGAGATTGTCTGTGATTGGCTGGCTTTCGGAAGCATGTTCACTGGAGTGAGTCCTCCACTGAGTGGCCAGCTTTCAGAAGCACTAGGCGCCACTGAAGAGTTGGCTTTCGGAGGTGAGGTTATGAAGTATTTACTGAGGTGCGTTTAGGCCTAGGCAAGTCATCATTAATTGATTAAATCTGGTGTAATTATGTTTCACATCCGTTCTAGTGGTCACTGTGGAACAACCAGCCTTTTTCTAGGAGTTGGAGATTGTTTTATTCTCATAAGCTAATGCTTAAACTGTAAGAAATTGAAGGACTCTGAGGAATCCCTCTAAATAAGCAATGACCCTATGATGCGTTTTTCTAAATCAGGTGCTTACTAAAGCAACAGGAAGTATTAAAACTCTGGAGTTCTCACATGTGAGGTGGCATGTTCATATACAGAGTGCCCCCCAAAATGTATGCACTTTAACAGCTGATAACTCAGTTTTGAAAATGGAATATCCTATCTAATAAAAGAGAAACATGGTAATTGGTGTACGACCACTACCCTTCCCATTGGCTAATCAGGGCGATATGCAAATTAACTGTCAGCCAAGATGGCGGCCGGCAGCCAGGCAGCTTAAACTGAACATGAGGCTTGCTTGCTTCAGTGACGGAGGAAACCAACGTTCCTCACCTGCCTTGCCGGCCTCTGAGCTTGCAGTTTAAGAAACATAGTAACATATAGAAGCTAAACAAAACCCCAGAAACCTGCTTTCAGCGAGCCCGGGATCTCAGAGCTGGAGTTGATACAGAGTTTCGATTATAGAACCGAAACAAACCAGATACCTGCTTTCAGGAGTGGAGGCCTAAGAGCTGGAGCCTCAAAGCTAAAGATGGCCCAGAATAAAAAAAAAAAGAAAAAAGAAAAAAAGGAGCAGTTGGGAGCTTCAGTCCCAGCCTGAAAACAGCCCTCAGCCCCTCACTCAGACTGGCCAGGCACCCCAGTGGGGACGCCCACCCTGAAGGGTGTGTGACCAGCTGCAAACAGCCATCATCCCCTCATCCAGGCTGGCCAGGCATCCCAGTGGGGACCCCCACCCTGATCCAGGACACCCTTCAGGGCACACCAGCCAGCCCCCACACGTGCACCAGGCCTCTACCCTATATAGTAAAAGGGTAATATGCCTCCCAGCACTGGGATCAGCGGAGCTGAGAGGCCTCCCAGCACCGGGATCAGTGTGACAGGGGGCAGCGCCCAAACCCCCTGATCGCCCTGCGGCTCTGTGTGTGACAGGGGGCGGGGCCACAACCTCCCTATCAGCCCTGCTCTGTTCCTAACAGGGGAAGGCGCCCCAACCCCCTGATCAGCCCTGCTCTGTGCCTGATAGGGGGGAGCTCCCCAACCCCCTGATCGGCCCTGCTCTGTGTGTGACGGGGTAGAGCCATAACCTCCCCATTGGCCCTGCCCTGAGTGTGACAGTGGCGGCGCCCCAACCCCCTGATCGGCCCTGCTCTGTGGGTGATAGAGGGTGGCGCCCCAACCCCCTGATCCGCCCTGCTCTGTGTGTGACAGGGGGCGGTGCCCCAACTCCCCTATCGGCCCTACTCTGTGAGTGACAGGGGGGAGCTCCTCAACCCCCTGATCGGCCCTGCTCTGTGCCTGACAGGGGGGAGTTCCCCAACCCCCTGATGGGCCCTGCTCTGTGCATGACAGGGGGTGGAGCCGCAACCTCCCCATCAACCCTGCCTTGAGTGTGATAGGGGGCAGTGCCCCAACCCCCCATCAGCCCTACCCTGAGCGTGACTGAGGGTGGCATTGCAACCTCCAGATCTGCCCTGCTCTGTGCATGACGGGGCGGCGCCCCAACTCCCCAATCGGCCCTGCTCTGAGCCCAACCAGGGGCTGCACCTAGGGATTGGACCTGTCCTCTGCCACCCGGGAGCAGGCCTAAACCAGCAGGGCGTTATCCCCCGAGGGGTCCCAGACTGCGAGAGGGCACAGGCCAGGCTGAGGGACCTCCCCTCCCCCCCGAGTGCACAAATTTTTGTGCACCAGGCCTCTAGTATTTTAATAAACACTGCCTTTATAATTATTCAAAGTATGTGTACATTTTTGGGACACCCTATATTATTGAGATCAGTTATGAATTTGATGCAAATCATGTATTTTAATAATAAATTGTAGAAATGTGAGTTACCTTAGTAAGTTAAAGGAAACTCTAAGTCATTATTATCACTCATCCTCACCTGCGTTCCAATCAGCTTTATGTATCTGGGTGGAAAGGGGTGGGAATGGTAGTAAGACCCCACATGTCAGCCCTGGTGAACTGTAGCTACTGAATCCTGAGTAATTGTAGCATCACTAGTACTGTAACATTTTACTTTCCTCCCAAAATCTTTTTAGGACTCTTTAAAATCTGGGTATATCCTTAGGAGTTTGTCACATAAATAAACTTCACTCAGCATTTGTGCTACTGCAGGGAAAAAGAAGCTAATATAATATTTGGGTTTCATCTTAAAGTTACAGCTGGTGTATGCGGAGTGTTAATCCTATAGGCAATTTGGCCCTATCTTCTGTGATAAAGGAAAATGCTTTGTCTGCCTATTTTAAAAATTGTTGAACTAACTAATGGGAAAGCCTTAGTAGTTTTGTTTATATATAAAAATTGAACTTTCCTCTTTCCAAATTCCTTCAACTGCCCTGAAACCTAGTCTTTTGACTTCCCCGTTTATTCCTGACACCTCCTAATGGGGACAGAGCTAATCGCTTACATGTTCCCCTGCTGCTAAGGATAGCCAGCTTATGACCACTTATGAGTCAAGCACATGTTGATACCTTAAGACCAGTAAGCATTTGATAAAGTAGGAAAGCAGGGTGGTTAGATTTGTTGTAATCAATAGTAGGAGGAGGAAATTAGTCCACGGAGCTCTGCCAAAAGCTTAGTTTCCGTTTGTATGAAAAATATGTATATTTCTTTAATTCAGCAACTCCACAGAAAAGGGAGTCATAATACCATTTGAACAAGAATTTTCTTAACACATTACCTACTCTTTTTTTTAATTTTATTAATATTAAATCTTTATTGTTCAGATTATTACATTTGTTCCTCTTTTTTGCCCCCATAGCTCCCCTCCACCCAGTTCCCACCCCACCCTCTGCCCTTACCCCCCCACTGTCCTCATCCATAGGTGCACAATTTTTGTCCAGTCTCTTCCCGCATCTCCCACACCCCTTCCCCCCCCAAGAATAGTGAGTCCATTACTCTTGATCCATTTAAATACTCAGAACAAAATGAAACAGAAATCAGATAGGAGTAGCTTATTGCAGGAGTTTTGCTCTGCAGCCAGGCTCTCTCTAGCTAAGAAAGTAAGCTCTTTAAAGGCAGTTGGCAGAATGTTCTGGGAGTTTAGTTTAAGGAACACTGTGTGTAGAAGTCTTTTAACCTCCCATCAGGAAAAGAACCTCAAGTGAAAACTGAGGCAATGACACTCACTACTAGAAATACAAGCCAGCAGAACAAACTCCACACATGGTTTTCAAATTCAAGTGTTTTCTGAGAAGTTGGTTTCCGTGTGGCACAAGCACCAATAAACAATAAACCCATCTTTGTGTTCGGTACCCTTATAGTTCATTTTGCCAAGGATGGGGAAGTATAGAATTTCTCCTTTCAGTTTCCACGCCACAATCACTGAACCATCTCTCTCCCTCTTTAGGATGTCACATGTACTTCAGTTTGAGGATAAAAGCAGAAAAGTGAAAGATGCGAGCATGCAGGACTCAGACACCTTTGAAATCTATGATCCCCGGAATCCAGTGAATAAAAGAAGAAGGGAAGAAAGCAAAAAGCTGATGAGAGAGAAAAAGGAAAGAAGATAGAAGGAGAGGACTGACACCCAGAACAGGTGGAACTGTGCCTGCAGTGCATGGCCTCATGACAGCCATTGCTCCCAGCAGCATCACTTAGGCATGGGAAAAAGTCTGGTTTTGAAAACCAGGGTCTTGTTATGTAAACTGTGGACTGACACAAACACATGCTCTTGGTTACTGGAACACACTTTTATTCTGCATTGACCTTTTATATTGTTAAATGTGAAATAAAATCACTTTCCTTCCAGTTTTCATGTTAACCATGTGCAGACCATGCAAGCCTACTTGTGCTTTTTTACCCTAAAATATGTGAAAGCTTCATTTTTGAGATTTTTTCTAAGAAATTCCTGCAAAAAGAATATTTGAGGAAAACCTCTTTGGCATTCTGTCATCAGAATACTAACTTTGGAATATAATAAAATATATATATATATATAATATAAAGATTGATTTTTTTTTTCATATAAATATCTCAAAATAGCCAAATCAACAGGACTCAGTAGCCTGTACCTTAAATTGTGAGGAACGCCCACATGAACACTCACACCTGCATCAAGGCTAATGCCTGGCTTCTACTGATGCAGCTGAGACACCGGCTACTGTCAGCCCAGCTCATGGCACACCCTGGCCGGACCCCAGGCCGCCTGACCCGGGCCACCTGCCCACTCGCCCTTCTCACACAGCAGCCGCAGCAGACACGTAGGGGCCCCATTCTTGCAGAGCAGCTCATTGAGAAGTTAGCCTTTGATGGCAATCATTCTCACGGGTTATTTACTACATATTATCTATATTTAGTCAGGTTTTCATTCCTAGAATCAGAATGCTAAAATTATACCACAGACTGACTTTCAGTTACCTCATAAAACCTCACCAGCAACATCTTTTCAGATAGTGTCTCATTGTCTCTCTCTCTCAAAATGTCATCCAATAGGCTTTTTCTAAGAACACTAGTTCTCAAAATACAGCCCCAGACATTACACTACAGCAACGTCACATGGGGACATGTTAGAAATGCAGAGTCTTGCTGCACTACCCTTCCCCTGCCACCCACCCCTCTTCCAGAGGAATGAAGCCGAAACTTTGAACCCAGAGGGCTTGTTAAAGAGACTCCTGGCCTCACTGCAGGTGATTCAGTCCTTGGAATTGGCAATACCTACTAAAGTTAAAGATGTGCCTACCCGTGATTCAAAAATTCTAATCCTAGGTTTGTGCCTTAAAGAAATTCTCACGTGTTGCTCAAGGAGACCCCTACCGAGTATACACCGAAGCATCAACCAAAGAATTGATAAATGAGTTGTTGTATATCCATACTATCAAATACTTTGTAGTGGTGAAGATCAGTAAACCAGAGCTATATGTATTACCTTATCTTAAACATAATATGAAAAAAGGAGACCATCTGTATAAAAATTTAAAACACACAACCTACCATTATATATTGTTTATGGATATACACATGTGTAGCAAAAATATAAACCAGGTATGGAAATAGTGATTACTTCTGAGGAAGCAGAAGGAATTTACAGGGAGCCTTGCTTGTGTTTGTAGTGTTTTATTTATTAAGGTAGAGGGTGGGTACTCAATCCTCATTATAGTATTCTCTATACATGTTGGTATGCCTGAAATATTTCATTTTTTTTTTCTTTTTGATATCTACAACCTGAGGTGAGAAGACAGGACTCCCAGTACTAACAAGAACCCTTTGTTCTCTTCAGGAAGCAGAAAGTTTCAAAGAGGAGGAGAGGGACAGGGGAGTAGGACATGCCAGCCCCCTCAATGTGGAGTGATTAATCTCACAGCCACCAAACAGTAAGCCAGTGTTTAGAAGTGTGTCCTGTCTTCTCATCACGAAATTGTAACCTTGGTTATCACAGGTATTCACAAAGCAACATTTCGTTTTCCAAACTTACTGAGTCTCTGTCAGTTATTGTGAAATGTATTACCACTTGATTTGTACCTACAAGTTTCCGTACCTACAAGTTTCCGTGTCATTCTTCCTCATGTGTCCACCACCGTAACCAGTGTGGGATTGTCCCAAGAATAGATAAATTAAACCCTCAGGTTGGTTAAATGCATCTTATCCTGGTTTATTCACAAAGACCAGAAAGTTCTGAAATTCCACAGAGATTAGAATCTTATCAGCAGAATTTCACCATGATAATAAAATTCACTTTGAACTTAACTGAATTAGAGCAATAACAATTTTTTAAGAATGTAATTAATTATCTGTTAAATACAAGATGAGGCAAAGGTAGGTCTACAGTTGTGCATATGTGAAATGCAATTTATTCTTGTATTATTGTTTTCCATACAAACAACTGTAAACCTACTTTTGCCCCACCCTGTATGATATTAAATGTGCTTATAGTAAAGTCTTTGGAAATGTCACAGGAGTGTGTTTGGGCCATATTAATTTAAAAAAAAAAAAAAATCAGTTCAAAGACAAAAAAACAAACATGAAAACATGTAAGAAGTTAGCCTTTTTAAGTTCATTCTAATTTTATATTTATTTGGGCTTATTTTTCTTTTCTGTCTTGCCATATGATGTTTTCCTGAAACATGAAGTCTGTTAGCATTCTTGTTCATTGTCTGTGGCAATGCTAGACATTCCAGAGAGCAGGGAAAAGCAACTCCTGCAACTTTTTTAAAAAATTGTCACCTGAGAATATGTTTTTTATTGATTTTTTTTTTTTTTTTTTTTTTTAGAGAGAGAGAGGAGAGGGAGGGGGGAGAGAAAGATATATGTGAGAGAGAAACACTGATCAGTTGCCTCCTGTACATTTATCCTGATGGCTGGGGATTGAACCTGCAACCTAGTTATGTGCTCTGACTGGGAATCAAACCCACAAACTTTTGGTGTGTGGGACAACAGTCCAACAAACTGAGCCACCCAGCCAGGACAATTCCTGGAAAAATTTTTTCTCATTTCCTTACAAGCCGTTTTTTCACTTTGATTGAACCTGTTGGCAACACTAGACCTCTTTTCTCATCAGGTAATTGAAGTGAATGCGGATCTCTCTAGAATTTTTAATGGTGTAATATCAAAACATATTGTGACATGCCCTCGGCTCCTGGTATGCTCCAAGGCCACACAGCAATGCATCTGCTGCAGCTAAAAACGGGGACATCATAAAACAAGGTCATTAAAAAGTGTGAGGAGATGAGTGGTTTGCTGCTGTTGTTTTTAGAACAAGTTCAATAAGCTATGGTGTCCTTATCAAACTGTCACGACCACGTTTCTTGATAGGATCCGACGTGTGAGGTACATAAACCTGTTGTGTTGTATCTGTTGTGTCAGTGTGGCCTGTATGGAAAAGGTTAGATAAATGCAGAATATTGCCCAAACATGCTGTTTAATCTTGGTGATAACGAGGGAGAAAATGGAGGTGTGAAGTGAGTTGCCACTAAGGGTTGTATCAGTATAAGCAATTTGTATGTACGGGGTGTAGAGAAGTTAAGAGGGGTTACATTCTTTAACACTGTCATTCACAAAAAAAAAAAAAAAAAAAAAAAAAAGACAACCAAGGCAGGTCTGGTTTCTCCATGGCTTTGACCCAGCTCCAGGGACTTCACACAGTTTACCAGGTGACACCACTCTGCTTCCTAGAAAGCAGGTTTCCTGTCCCATATATATTTTACCTCTTTCTTCTTTTGGCTTTTAATGAAGAGAAGTGAGGCAGGGACCATTTTTTAGAGAAATCCTTTCTAATAAGGATTTGAAGATATTTGAAATCCAAGAGAAATAATAAAACACTGAGTCTTGCTAAGATGGGGATTAGCAGTCCCCTGCTTTTGAAAGAATAATCATTTATTCTCCAAAACCCTCCTCACCAAAGCTATGTGAATATGTCACAGGTGCTAAGGGTTTTGTTAACCCCCATGGAGAGCTGTTTTCAGTGGTTAAATTGTAAACTAGCTCCCTAAAAAAAAGCGATGGGGGGCGGGGAGGCTCTGGTTTACAGTATTTGCCAATTTCCGTGGTGTAAATACTTGCCATTGGCGGATTTCAAGCCACCCAAGGAAGCCCCAGTATGCAACTGGTTATTTCACAGGGTTTCGCTGCTTAGCTAAAGCTTACATAGTGACCCCTGTGCTGCACTAAAGAGCTCACAGAGGGTTTTAACCTTGATCCAAGACCACAATCTTCACATGTATTTCCACTTGATGTGATTACTTCACACAATTTGGTCAAGTTCTGGCAACATCTGCACCCTCTGTTTACAGACTAATTTGTATCTTCAGATTCTCTGTTGATGCCATTTTCAAAGCCACTGGCTCACATGAATTTTTTCCTCTGCTAGTCTTTCTGCTTTGGTCATATGTCCAACTCAAGAAAAAAGCAAATCTCATAGGAAACAAACCAAAAAAAGGAGGGGGAAGGAAGGCAAGAAATGTAAGTATAGTTCCTTGAAATATAATGTGCAAATTCATCATTTATGTGTGTTTTTTTTAATAAAAAAAAAAAAAGGTACTTGGGGTGAGGAATGGAGAGGCCTACCTGGAGAGAAGACTGACTTTTAAATGAAATGCAGGCTTTTTTTTTTTGCTTTTTTCTTTTTTCTTCTTCCCATCTGCTGGGAAGTTTTTCTTTAGGGTTAGAGCACAGTATTAATATTATGTTACTTGATCAGTAAGAACATCTTTTGGAGGCTTTCTTCACAGCACTAGTCAAAAAGGAGATGTTCTTGGTTCTTTAGAATTTCTTTTTTTCATCCTTATATGCCAAAAATGAATTGTTGCTAAAGTTTTCACACTTTTTAGTGATCAAGATGATTTTGAGAGCAGGAAACTCTTAAGTGACTTTCCCGTTTATTTTCAGAATAAATCTGGTTGGAGTTTTATTATAATATTCAAACAGTTGAGTAACAATATATTTGTTTTTTAAAGTTTTTAATGATTTTCAATTACAGTTGATATTCAATATTATATTAGTTTCAGGTGTACAGCATAGTGGTTAGACATTTATATAACTTATGAAGTAATACCCCCCCATATAAGTCTAGTGCCCACCTGACACTATACGTGTTATTACAGTGTTATTGACTATTGTGCTGGACTTACATCCCGATGACTACTCTGTAACTGTAATTTGTACTTAATTCCTTCACCTTTTTCACCCAACTCCCCACTTGCAACCATCAGTTTGTTCTCTGTATCTAATAACAACAATGTATTTGAAATGAAGGGTATCATGTATAGAAAGTTAATGACTACTTTAAAGTAATATATAGTCCATGGTTAGTTTTCAATAGTTATGAGGAAACTTAACAATTTGTGAATTTCCTCTTGTTTGTGTGATATGTATAAATCATTTTTTAATCTTCAATTTTTGTACCTTCACCCGAGGATATGCTTTTTATTGATTTTTAGGGAGGGAGAGAGAGAGACAGAGAGAGAGAGAGAGAGAGAGAGAGAGAGAGAGAGAGAGAAACATCTGTGTGAAAGAGAAACATTGATTGGTTGCCTCCCATAAGTGCCCCGACTGGGGCTCAAACCCTTAAACTAAGTATGTGCTCTGATCTGGAATCGAACCCACAACACTTTGGTGTGTAGGAGGATGCTCCAACCAACTGAGCCATCCATCCAGGGCTAAGTTGCAATTTTTAAAAATATATTTTTACTGATTTCAGAGAGGAAAGGAGAGGGAGAGGGAGAGAGAGATAGAAGCATCAATGATGAAAGAGAATCATGGATAGGCTGCCTCCTACATGCCCCCCACTGGGGATTGAGCCTGCAACCCAGGCATATGCCTGACCAGGATTCTAACCATGACCTCCTGGTTCATGGGTCGATGCTCAACCATTGAGCCACACTGGCAGGGCAAAGTTGCCATTTTTGAGGAAACATTTTATTTAGGACTAGAGGCCCAGTGCATGAAATTTGTGCATGGGTGCGGTCCCTAGGCCTGGCCAGCTATTGAAGCTCTAGAGTCTGGTGTGGAAGGGCAGGTCCCAACTGACCTCTGGGCCTTGGGCAGCACCTGGGCCCCCATGTGCCCCCCTCCACCTGAGTCATCGGGCCCCCACCTGGCTCCCTCAGCACCTGGGAGCCAGGCAGTGGCCCCAACCCCTGCCGCCACCGCTGATCGCCATCTGCGGGGCAATCGGCAGGGCAATTGGGCCCACGCTCATACCCACCTTGGTCTGGCACCATATGCTCACCTGCTCCACCATCCCGCATGGTCCCACTCTCGTCAGTGCCCATCAGCATTGGCAGGGCCTCAACTGCTGTCCACTGCCAGCACCGTGTTTCCAATGTTCCATGCCACCCCCTGATGGTCAGCACACGTCATAGTGAACGGTTGAACTCCCAGTTAAACTCCTGGTCAAGGGGACAATTTGCATATTAGGCTTTTATTATTTGGGATAAGAGGAATGTGATCATTTTATCTGTGTTATAAAATTATACTATACTGGAGGCCTGGTGCACGAAATTCGTGCACTCAGGGGAAGGGTTGTCCCTTAGCCCACCCTGTGCCCTCTCACAGTCCAGTAGCCCTTGGGAGATGTCCAACTAATGGCTTAGGCCTCTCCCTGGCAGTCAGACATCCTTAGCGCTACTGCGGAGGCGGGAGAAGCTCCCACCATCGCTGCTGGGCTCACCAGCTGTGAGACCGGCTTCTGGCTGAGGGGCACACTGACCACCAGGGGTTAGCTCCTGCATTGAGCGTCTGCCCCCTGGTGGTCAGTGAGAATCATAGCAACCAGTTGTTCCACTGTTCAGTCGATTTGCATATTAGCCTTTTATTATATAGGATTGTTGGTGTAAATGACCAAGAATGGGTACTATCTTCCCAAGCAATTAAAGAATTCAACAAGTGATAGTTTAATTTAAAGTTAGATATGATATTATATGAGGTCCATTTCAGAGTGAAATTAAATAATGCTATTATGTGGATGCCATGTCCCATCAAACCTACACTCCCCAGCACTGCCTCCACTAGACTTTGCTTCATCGGCACTTTCCCCAACTCTATTACTAGCAATGCTGTTTTCCAGTAGCTCAGGCCAAATAGTTTGGATTCCTGTCTTTATCTCACACCCCACATCCAGTCTGTTATGATATTCTGTTGGCTCTACCTTCAAAATATATCTAGAATTTCACCATTATTTACCACTACCCACTGCTATCACCCTGGTCAAAGGGACCATCAACTTCCACGTGGACCGTAGCAGCAGCATCACCAGTCTTCCTGCTTTCACCCTTGTTTCCCTATTTTTTATTACCAAGTCAACAGCCAAGCAAAACATAAGTCACATTGCTATACTTCTCTGCTAAAAACACTTAAGTGGCTTCCCATTTTATTCAGAATAAAAGCCCATATCCGTGCAATAGCCTAGAAGGCTCTATCTAGATAACCACTATCCCTCCGCTCCAATCCCTGACCTCCTCCCTACTGCCCTCCCCGCGCTCACCCCATCCCTCCTTCCTGCGCTCCATCAGATGAGCCAGGTGTGGTCCATCTCAGGTGCTTCACACTGGACTGTCCCTCACCTGGAACCCTCGTCCGAATGGCGGGCTCCCTCAGCTCAATGAGGCCTACAATAACCTCTCTCCTTTATTATTGCAACCTGCCCTCCCCAGCCCCTGCTCCCAACATGTTCGATCCCTCTTAACCTCCCTCTGTGGTTATATTCAACAGCACTGTTAACACCTAAGCACTTTGCCTTATTCACTCTTGCAAACAATCTTATGCAGTAGGGGCTCTTGTCATCATTTTATAGAGGAGGAAGCAACCTTAGAGAGGTTAATACTTCTTTATTCTTTACCATCCATCTCCAGTGTCCTCCATGAGGACAAAGGTTTTTACCAATTTTGTTTATTATTGTTCCAGGGCCTAGAACCATGCCTAACAAATAGTAGACACTTCATAAATATTTGTTGAATAAACAAACCAATGCATTAAAAAAATGATACCCAATATAAGGTATTTCATATTTTATAATTTAATATCACCATCATTTCAAAAAACTGGGACATTTTTACACTAAAAAAAAGAAAAATGAAAGAAGAATAGAACATCAGTTCTGGGACAGCTCTAACATTTGAATAAATTTTACTTTAGAAAAACCTCACTACATTACTTTTCCTCATTTTAACATAAGACACTGTGTCACAGATGGGCACAAACCCAGAGAACTGCCGGTTTGTTGGAAAACACATTTCTACCTACATCACTTCCTTAAATACCTGCTCATTATAAACAGCAATATTCTAATTCTTGAGACTAGGAAGAACTCAGAGCCAACATGTAATGTGTAGAAAGCAAGGCTATCAGGCTTTAGGTCTACAACTGAGTTAATATTTTTCTCCTGGTTCAAGTGGGAGTACCTACCTAGCCATCACAGTCAAAAGAAAGAATGGACAAGAAAACCACGCTTTTACAAAGCATAGAATGATAAGAGCTAACATTTGATGGATACTTCCTTTATGCCAGACCCTCTTCTAAGCACTTAATCTGTTTAACTATCTAACTCTTAATCCCAATAAACAACTCTCTGGGGGAGGCTCTATTACCATCTCCATTTTACAAATGAGATGGAGACTGGAGGCTTGGAGAAGTTAAGAAGTTTGTCCAGGTCACACAGTAAGTAGAAGAGCTGGGATTTAAAGCAAGAGTGACTTTCCGAGTTTCTGCCCTTGAATTCAGAGGCCACCATGCCTCTCACAGCACGAGACAGATTGTTTCATGGGACAGCTTATACATTTACCTACAGTGTTTATAATCTAGTGGAGTGAAGGGGGATGACAGCACCCTCCAAAAAACACAAAACAGGGATTTCAGTTGAAAAGAATTATATATGTGAAAACTAAATGAATCCTAGAGTAAACCAAGAGATCGATTTAGTGGGATTCATCTAGAACTGCCTCGTGGCAGAGGGAATTTTGAGCATAATTCGGAGGGAAGGGAGAATGTGGCATTGAGAAGACAGGCCACGTTCCAGGTGGAGAGAACGTTGTGCAGACAAGCTATTAAGACAAATGTAGGAGACAGCCATGTGTCTACGTGATGCCAAAACATCTGGTCAATTCCGTTTTTAAAAAACCCTCCATCAATGTAGTGCATTTCTTCAGTCAATCCAGATGTTTGGCGTCTTGTAGACAAAACATCCAGATGATTAACTGAAGATTTGACATCGTTGACTGGATTAACCAGATGTTATAGCGTTGCATAGACACTGTGTCAGGACGTTCACTTGGCCGGAGTAGAATCCAGCTGTAGAGGAGATAACGGCTCAGCAACGAGGGGGGGTTTGGGAGCAGAGGACTGGGGCTTGGATTTGATGCAATTGGGAGCTGCTGGAGGAGGCGTGTGGTGTAAATGATGCTTAAGGAAGAGGATTCTAACAACTGAAGGGGAAAAAGTGGTGAGAGGAAAAGTTGTAGACAGGAA